TCCTATCTAGGCTGCATGTGTAAATACCTGTTGCACATGAACTAACAAATTAGCAACAAGAAACTAAGTTTGACAGGCAGTGCCAGGCAGGCTGAAACATCCAGGAAAATAAGTGTTCTCCCTAGTGATGGAGCCTCTTCTAAAAGCTATTTTTATTCAGTCTGAACTCCCAGGTTCATGGAAAGTAAACCGATCCATAAAAATGCATAATAAATAATTTTACACATATCATGCTCATTTGCATGTGAATTAACCCAATTTATGGCCATAAAGGCAGACTTTGTCAGTGCACAGAAGATGCAAACAAGTAGTAGGGGCAGAGAACTGCCCACGGTTGAAGATTTGTCACATTTCTGTACCACTCAATATTAATTCTTGCTGTGCCTCAAATGAGGTTAAAATGATGGTGACAGCTCAGATCTGTGTGACGATAGATAGATAGAGAGGGAGATACAAGAAGTTCTTACATCTTCCTCCTGCATTTGCATTTTCTTCCAGGTATAGATCTCACAGTGTCTGTTAACTGATTATTTCTTTTAAATAAGTGGGGAGAAAAAAGAACAAAAAAAATCCCTTTTTCTCACCCGACTGCTTATTAGATTTGATATTGGGAAAAGCCCTTCGTTTACTCCGAACAAATAGCTATGTTTTCCACCACTCGCTGTCATGTTTAAAGTAAATAAGTTCTCGTCCCTCCAGCACTGCTGAACTCATTCACTCCCCAGAACAAAGCCATTGTGCAGAGGTCCACAAGAGCCCTTTTCTCTCCTTCCCCGAGCGGGATCTTCCCCAGCACCGCAGTGTGCTCCCCAGCTTTGTGAGCCATTCACCACCGTGCCAGTGCTAAGAGTGTGCCTGCTTTATTTCACAGAAGAAATGAAGGAAGATTATGACACTATGGGGCCTGAAGCCACAATTCAGACCACTGGAAACAATGGTACAGGTAAGGCCTTGCATGGAGTGAGCATCACTTTTCTTTGGGATCACGTGGAGCTAGCTGTGCGTGAAGAGTGAGTGACAAAATGATCTATTTCTTGTTTTCAGATAAAAAATTGGAAAATGCTGACATAATTCTCCTGGCTTTTAATTTCCCCCCAACTAGATCACAAGAGTGCAGTGACCAATTCATGCAATGAAAAGCCTTTGTTATCCCTCCTGTGTCCCACAATATTTTAGCCCCAACTCCTAGTAGCTGCATCCTTGGGAAATAAGAGTTCTCAGCAGTGTGAGGAGATGTTTTCCCAGGCACGGTGAGCCTTGGACAATTTAAAGTAGCTGGGCCAAGATCTAGTAGCCTTTTAATGAGAGAGACTGTAGGAAGAGCTTGATAATGAGGATGGGGTGCACCCTCCTTGGCAGCCCCAGATTTGGGTGGTGCACAGAGTGAGCTGCTTCAGAGATTGCAAACATCTTTTCAGCAAGTCACACATAAACCCCTTACATAGATCCACAGACACACACACTTTAAATGCATATTTATGAGATTATAATGTTTCTGGCTAATCTTTCTTTTTTTCCTCCCCACTTTTTGCATCTTTCTTTCCCCTCTTCTTAGAAATCAATACATTTGGTGGCACAAGAAGTGTGATGAAGATATTTAGCAGGCATCACCTCTGAGCCATCTCCCTTTTTCTGTAGCAGAGCAAACCAGCAAAAGGTTCCTGTTGCTATTTTCTAATCCAAATGAATTCAGGGATTTTTACCATGTTCTTTCCAAAGGCCCCACTCTATCCTCAGCACAGCAGAATGCCCATACATCACCCAGTGTTTCTTCTGCATTTTGTCACAATGTGAGATGTTGCAGATGGATTTACACAACTAAAAGGAAGAGTTTTCTAGTATAAGTACATTTCTATGCATTCCATTATGAAATTTAGTTCATAGGTAATACTCTCCACAAATATTACTGTAAAAGGTGGTACCAAAGTCTCACAAGGATTTTATTACTCACACTTTCCTAATGTTGGTAACACCCACATAAAGCCCCAGTGCTCTTATTAAGAAACGCAAGAAATTTATTTTATCATTCTTGAGGGGGAAAATAATAGGAAAATAAAACCGTGTCACTGCTTTCTTCATCCATTAGATTTATTATGCATGAAAGGAGGGTGGCACCGAGGCACAGTTCATCATTACGTTTGTACTTAATGATGTTGCTGTGCAGAACTGGCTACATATGTATCTCAAAAGCTTATTTTATTTCCAAGAGACGGCAATAAAGTGACAAATTGTGCTTAGCACTTGGAGAAACAGGATTTTAAAAGACATCTGATTCAGAAACAAGGCTTGATGGTTATCTGAATTACCATTACCAGAGCCTTTGAGGTCCCCTATCAGTCCGTGTGACTTCCTTTGCGCATATTTTCCTTACCATAACAGGCCTTGACTCTTTCATGCTTGCAATGTAGTCTGCTTCAAGGGGAAGACTTCATATCCTCTTAGTCCCTTCCCTTCCAGTATCTGATGTCCTTGTCTTCCAGCTCATCGTCAGCCTCATGAAATCTCCCTGGGGGTGCCTGGCACAGCCCCTTTGCCAACCCTGAGTGGGGTCCATGGGGTGTCCTGCCTCTACTGGAACCAGTTTTCCTCCCCATCTTGATGCACTGCAATCTCAAACCTCAAGGACTGCTTTGCATTTAGGTGGTGTGCATTTAAAATGCAAGAGCTTCTCTGTGTGTTGCTCCTATCCATTCCTTCCCCAAATCTGTGAAAGTCCCAGGCTCTTTACTGCAGCTACCATGGCAGGCTTGCTCAAATAACCATCACAAGTTGCTCTGACAGTGTGGGATTCAAGTCCTTTGTCACTGAGGTGTTCAGAACCTCTTTCAGTGGGGGCTGATGCCTTGTCAGGTTGGGTAGAAGATGTTTCTTTAGTTGCTGCAATGTCCATAGACTCTTAAGAGCAATGTCCGATTACTTAGGCATAATTAATACTCTGATAAATGAAATGCTTATGCCAATCTTTTCACCATGAATGGGAGATGCCAGGTGACTATGGGGACCTGTAGTTTCCTCTATTAGGAGTAAAAACTCCCCTTCGTGCCCAGTGAGGTGCCTCAACCATTATTTGACAAGGAAAGGGAAGAAATCAGTCCCCGAGCTGTTGGAGATTCTTCCTGGATAGTCTGGGAAGTGTTCAAATTTTCTTCTTCACCCTCACTATAGGCTTTGGGCCTGTCTTGAGTGTTTGGCCTCAGTTTTTCCCTGCAGGCTATAGGGGATCTAACACTGATGTTCAATAAAGTAGCTGAGGTGAGGCTGAGACTCAACCCAATGAAAACATACATCCAACCAGCAAGTCTCTGTAGGTGCATGTAATACCTGTGGTGCACTTTTAGCATCAAATTCTCTGCAAAATGTCATTAGCAGAGAAAGAAAACTAAAAGAAAAGGTCTCCATTATTAAATTATTCTGCTGTTGTCAGAGTGACCACTTCCTAGTGGTGCTTAAAGAGAAATCTTGTTATCAGTACATTAATCAGCTGCATTTTTATAATGAGCTATGGAGGTTTCATAGTGAAAAAGCAGAAGTGACCATTAGGGTAAAAATTTAGGATTTTGGTCCTGATAAATGAATTTGTAAATATTTCTGAGGTTTTCTGCAATAGGGACTTGAAAAAGTGATGTTTAGCAGAAGAGGTTTTTAAAATGTGAGTGAAGAAATTCTTACAGTTTATTTTATTCTAACTTTTATGGTTATTGCAACTGGGATACTTGCAGAAAATAGATTAACAAAATCCCTGTAAACAAACAGAAAATTTTTCCTGGTTTCAATTAGCAACATCTGACAGAATTCAAGTAAAGATCTCTAAACATAATTTAAAGAAGGGAAAGAAAAACTTTCAGGGGGAGGAAAACAGAACCAAAACTTGGCAGGTTGGAGGACAGGCCGTTTTCAGGCTGTAATCTGTGTGTACCAATGGGGGCCTCTCACTTCCTGGCTAATGAAGGCTGTGGTTTTATTAGCTTTGTTTGCGATTAAGGGCAGCTATCACCATCTAGCAGGACGAGTTCCCACACAAAATAACTGGTCTCCCAAGCTCCTTGGACCTCTCTCCCACTTTATCTTGAAAGGTCCTAAATGCCTCCAAAGATAGCTTTCTTTAATGTGTTTTATTTTTATGTGACACAGTCACATCAGCTTTTGGAGCTGAAAATGCTTCTGCTCTCCAGGCTCCAATAATTAATTAAAAAAAGACTTATTTGGTGAGGTCACCCACCATAGATCTCGCTGAAATTCTTGCCTCACAGGAGGGGATGTGCAGTGTGTGTGCAGTGTCAGCCCACAAGGAGTCTGGGAATATGGCTTTGCAAAATAAATCAGGGCATGGAGGGAGGAAACAAGTCTTCCACCCAGAAGTCAAGAGAGAAATCTAATGGCTGTCAGATGGGTCTTTTTAGTAGCACTGGGTGAGCTTCCAGCCATGTCTGAATTGTCAGTAATGCTGCTGGTGAGAAACCAGACCCACATGGACACCCTTCACTATTTGTGTTAATCTGCAGCGTTGCAGCACTGGTTGTATTGCTTCAGTGAAGGATCTATCAGCTTTTCCACTAAATCCCCTTGTTTTTAGGGGTTTATAATGTAGACATAAACATTTGCTTTAGCTCCTGGATTGCATGCACAGACATAGAAGCTAAATAATCCCTGGAATTAGGAAGCCAAGGCCGGTAATATCACAGCGGTCCTCCACAACCTGTTGGATCAGCCTCCAGATAGACTTGGGGGCATGAAAGAAGAACCTCTCTTGGATTTGAGTTGGGGATGGAAGCTCCTAATTTTAACTCAGGCCTTGCTTGGTGGCTTGAATCCTAATCCTACAAATGCAGTTGCAAACTCCAAGTGCCCCTAGTTTACCTGGAGGAGAAAAGGGACAAATAGGACCATCCCATGGAGCCATCCCATTTCTCCTCTCTGGAGGAAAAACTCCCTCTCCTTGCTTCACAGGTAGCACTTATTGGCTCATGGTCTAGATATGACAAAAATAAACTTGTTTTCATTGAGTCTATTGCTAAGACAAGAGAAGGAGTGGAGCTTGGGTAGTGTTAAGCCAGAGGGTAGATTGTAACACTTGGAAGATCTGGACATAACAGGGGAATGAAAAGTTAGATTTACAGCATAAAAAGTAAACCCTCAGCTTTTTTCTTCTGATTAAAACAAGAAGTCCTACACCTACTGTGATGCTCTTGTGCATAATGTGTACTCAGTAACCACCATTTTATTATATTTCTCTCCGAGAACAAAATGGAGGTAAAGTACTCTGTCTTCTTCTCCACACTCACACTCCCCTTCTTTAGAAGCTGCTTTAGTTTGGGTTTGAAAGAGGAGAATTGTTTCTCATGCTAATAACAAATGGTAACTGGAGCTGCAGAAGGACCAAGAGGAACTCTATGGCAGTGTAGCCATTCCCTACAAAACCACTGTGATAGGAACAGAAGTTTCCTTCCAAAACCAGGGTCCTGTGCCCTGTGCCATTTGGTCACTGTCACAAAAATAGTGCAGAACGGTTGAGAAGCTGCTCAGCTCATATGAAAAATAGGGCATATTTGTCTCAGCCAGAGGATTTGATTTTATCGGCTAAAGGGATGAGGTTTACAGAGACGGATATCTACTTTTATCGATGACGCCGAGATCAGAGCTTCAAATCAGGCACTGCAGCCTCCCAGTTGTGCCCCGGTCAGAGGTCACGGTTCATTTTCACTGCCAGCATCACTACCTTGCATTTTCATAGGAAACTGAGGCAAAGCATTTACCCATTTCTAAATAGCAAGGAGCTGCTTAGTCTCTCATTTCCAGTGGTTGCCATCACTCCCTTGATTTCCATGTGCTTACTCCATGTTGCTCCCTGGCGTCACTGACAGTGGAATTGGGCTGCTTTGTATTTTACTTTCACACGAATTCCAGAATAGTTCATGGTGCTTCCTCATTTTCTTATTTCGCCTCAGCAGAAATACATCATAAATTTAATCAATCATAAGATGTTCTTTTCATTTATTGTCAGTTAAAAACAAGTATCTTTATTTCCCTGCCACCAGCTATGTCTTTCAAGACTTGTTAATAAACAAAGAAACACAATTTAGAGAAAGAAAATAATAATCTCCTTTTTTTCTTTTTATCTAGCATAATTATATTATTATTTGTCTATAACATCCCAGAGTTGTAAGGTCTTTCCTGTAAGCAGTGTTCATACTTGGAGAAGAAAAGCATCTTTTTAGTAACAGGATGCTTTGTGGCTAAGCATGTATTATGTTTCATGGACATTGCATGGATAATAAAAAACTGAGGTTACATTTAGAGAAAAGAAGGAAAATTCTTGTATGGACTATCAAAGAAGTTTTGGGCTTGGTAACCCTGTTATGGTCTAAACCATGTGACTCTATTGCAGAAATCATGAAGCAATAAGCTTTTAGAACAGCTCATTGTATCATTATAAGTTAATTTTTCAGGGAGGAAAGAAAAAGCAGGAAGATGTGAGCAATTTTCTTCTTGTGCCTGACAAAGAGCAGGCTGAGGCAGGACTTGTCTCAGAAAAGTTTGGTCTTTTACTACCTGCAACTGCCATCTCCCCATATGGGGACTGTCTTGCGGTCTGCAGGATCCAGAGGCAGCTGAGCTCAATCCTGTAGGTTGAGCTGTGCTCATGCCAAAAGCTGTGGGATCCCCAGGAGCCCTGTGAAGGTTGTTCAGGTTCCAGCAATGAAAGATTACCTGCATTACCCAAGCCTCATAAACATCTCCTTCTGCCCTGTAGAGCCCTGTGTTCTTGTTAATTTAACTGCCCACCCTTACTGCCATCCACACTGGTGGAAAGCCCACATTAATTTTATTGGGAGCTGGAGCAAGGCCACTGAGAGCAAGGATCCAGCTGCAGCTCCAGCCTTGTAGCTCCAGTACATTTGCTCCACCTCTAACACTGCTGACTGGCCCAAGCTCTCTGGGACGATGCACTCAACCACCTTTTCTTTTCCCCCTCTCTTATTTTAGTGAAGAACGCAAATTGCACGTCGGACTTTGAGGAATATTTTGCCAAAAGGAAACTGGAGGAAGGAGATGGGCATGCAGTCAGCATAGCAGAGTACCTACAGCGCAGCGACACAGCCATTATTTACCCTGAAGCCCCTGAGGAACTGTCTCGCCTTGGCACTCCAGAGGCCAATGGGCAAGAAGAAAATGGTGAGGCTGTAATTCATTTTTAGCCAGTATCCTGACCTCGTGCAGCTGTTGCAATTATAAATGCACTACATGCCTGGGTGTTTACCTTAAAAATTGAAGAACAGCTGCAGCGGCATGGAATTTCATGAGCAAAGATTGGGGCTGTAATTTCAGTGTATTGTGATTTTTTAGTCAGCACATTTGTATTATTTGGTGGGTGAACTGAAGAGCTGAATTTAAACAGGAGAAAGGCTGCTGGTCTACTTGGGAGTTTGGGAAGTTTTGATAGAGTTTTAATGCAACAAAAGACAGAGTAGCCAGCCTATTGCTCTCCAATGCCTTGATAAATAACTGGAGAAGAGTCAGTAGGAAGGGTTCGGTCAATGGCATAAGCAACGTAACAAGCTGGGGCCGGAATGCAAATTTCCAATTGATCAGGAAAAGTATTCCTTAGTTTTCCAGCCAGCCAGGTCTGCGGGAGGAGTGATGCCCATCATGAATTTCCCTCTGGCAGGGTCCTGAGCGGGCCCTGCGAGTCTGCCGTGGGCGTGCGCGGGTGCCGGTGCCTCCCGCCGCCGGTTGGAAGCGCCGTCCCTCCCTCCCGGGCGGCAGATTGCGGCGATTCCTCTCATACCATCCCGGGCAATCAGCCCATGAGCTGCCATTGATTTGCTGACCTTTTGGCCTGCCTCTCTTTCCTCCCCCCTCCCGTCCCGGGGCGCAGACCTGCCACCTGGAACTCCAGATGCCTTCGCCCAACTGCTGACCTGCCCCTACTGCGACCGGGGCTACAAGCGCCTGACGTCCCTCAAGGAGCACATCAAGTACCGCCACGAGAAGAACGAGGAGAACTTCTCGTGCCCTCTCTGTAACTACACGTTTGCCTACCGCACCCAGCTCGAGCGGCATATGGTGACACACAAGCCAGGGACAGATCAGGTGGGGGGCTGGTTTTAAGTGATTTCTTTCTGTAATAACCCCTTAGAGAAACGATATTGCTTTGATTGGCAATCATTATTAATTTTTCATGGCATTTTGAAGATGCAGATCTTTTAATGGTAATAGCTTTAATTGAGGTCTAAATGATTTTTTGATGGTCTCTTCTAATATGATTTAATAGTCTTATGTTCACGATCGAATGAGTGTGTTAATTTCTAATTTAGAAATTTTATTTGCACTTTAACTTGACTTTAGTTTCGTTTTTATGTTCCTCAAAAAGTGAATGAAACTGTAGCATTTTAATTATACATTATTAAACATCTCAGCAATTTTAATTCCATTTTTCACCTAGTTTTACTTTGCAGTGTTGCAAATAGGAGCTCCAAGACATACTAAAAGATCCGCTAATATTTTTTCATTACTTTTTGAGTAACCTTTTCAATCACATGAAATTATGCGTATTTTGTATAATCGTTTGTTAGGCATAATTACACATTTTGAGAAGAACTCTTCCGACAGTACATATAGGCTATCATTTGTGATTGTGCCACCAGAATTGGGCATTGCTCTCATTTGTATAGCCCGGCAGCGTAACTGCAATAAATCAAGGCCGTTTTTTCCTCGATGGGGTACATGTAATATTATATCAGTGCCACATTTAAGGAAATGCTGGTGTCTCAAACAGGTGACTGAGCTTCCCTTGTGCTCCTAGATGGGCTGGTGATAGACCTGCACCACAAAATTCTTTACAGACCAGCAGAAAAAGTGCTCCTAGCTGGAGAATTACTTCTAAAAACCCAGCTTAAGGAGGGCTATGATGGAAACTCAAATGGCATGGTTAAAAGTTGAATAAATAGATGTGTGTATTGTGTCGAATTATTAAAGCTTTATGCCATATTTATTTTTCTTAAAAACCTGAAAATCACAATCAGATGGATTTCTCTTGGTAGATTTTTATCAGCAGAAGGTAAATTCAGGCAAACACACATCTTCCTAATCACACGATTTTTGCAATTAGCATTTTTAAGAGAACCGTATCTTTTGCTTGATCTTAAATCAATATAAATGACTCCAGAGCGCTTTCTCCTATTCTTTCCTTCCCATGGCTTTTCCAGTAGACAAACACATTTTCCCATGTATATTTTCCCTAACCTGATCCACCGTAAGGTTCTTCCTTTTGCCTCGTATCATTAAAAACACCAGGGGAGGGAACAAAACCCGCCTGGATATTTATACAACGTAACTGCCTGAAATTTCACATGCGAGAGCGCACTGGTACTGGCGCATTATGAATGGTAGCTTTGGTGTTGAAAAGTCCCCTCATTTGCTCATGGCATTTACAATTAGTAAATTAAAATGATTGTATCATATTAACAGTGGCACAACTAAAGTTTATAGTAGTCCTCGGAGGGCGATGGGGGGAGACAAAACAGCTGTTGCTGTTTGTTTATGCAACTCAGCAACATATGAGCGCGGGTCCCTCAATGGCGCGCGGCGGGCTGGGCTCTGCTTGATCTTTGAAGGTTGCTGCTGTTTGAACAAACCTCCCTGTGTCCCATGTAACACCATCTGTCTCGCCAGGAATGTGGGAAGAGGCAGCACACCCTCGCAGTTGTCATACCGTTTCGGCGCTGCCTTTTTTTTTTTTTTTTCCTCCTTTATTTTTCCCCCCCGTTTTTTCCCCCCCTCTCCCTGCTCCTGCAAAAGGCTTTTGTGTCGTGGTTGCCTGCAAAAGGCTGACCTCCTACCTTGAGCATCCAGAGTGGTTGGCCACATGATTATCAAGATAATAATTATTTTTTAATTAATTATTTTTTCTCAGAAAATTCAAAGTCATGGGGTTTTCCTTGCTTGTTGCAAAAAGGTCAGCTGCCTTTGATTATATCTTTACACCACTTTTAACTTTCAACTTTCCTTTGTCCCTCAGAAGAGCACTGAGGGAAAACATGGCACGAAAGGTAGCTCAAGTCTTTCCTGCTGCTCTGTGATTTTAAAAACCATTTCCAGCAGCAGCTTATGCTGAAGACATAGTCTCTCCTGCTTGATAATGAATTAAATCTTACACAAAATGCCACTAACGACAGTGTTTCTCTCTTTCCTCCACATGCAGTAAACAGAATTTTTAAACAAGCTGAAGTCCCACATGTTCAGAATCTGCTAGGAATATTAAGAGCCACAAATCTTCTTATAAAACTGTTTCTCTCATCGTAAGATACCTTAAAGCAACACATTTCTGATGAGAGACTTAGGAAATAATTCTAAAGCAAATATCGAATGCTCATGTGAAAGTACTTTCTCATTTGTTTCGGTTTACTGCCAACATTTTGATTTTTATTGCAACACTGATGAGACAAATAAATGTACATGCAGACCTTTTGGTCCGCTTGACAAATTCAGAGTCACATTAATTTAATTTTTGTTTCTTAAGCTTGAAATTCATGGTTTCTCTTGCATAAAATTCATGTTGGTATATCTTTTTTTTTTCCTTCTTTTCTTTCCAGCACCAAATGCTGACCCAAGGAGCAGGCAATCGCAAGTTCAAATGCACTGAGTGTGGCAAGGCCTTCAAATATAAACACCATCTGAAGGAACACCTGCGAATTCACAGTGGTGAGTAGCGGAGGTGCTGGTGTGCTCATTTGCATTTTGTTTAATTAGCTGAGTTTTAAAGACTGCTTAAAATTTACACAGTTCTGCTTCTGGCTTCTTGGAGCTACCAAGGTATTTCATAAGTGGTATCTGAGTCATCCTCATTTATCATGCTGTTAATACCATGGTCTCGCTAAAAGATTTGGAAATAGTAAAGCTTCCTGCAAATAATATAGATTGTTTGGCAGTTTGAGTTCAGAAGCGTTCATTCATCGTTGTGCAGCAGGAACCTGAGGAGTCCATTACATTTTCCAAAATAAAAAGTCTCCCTGAGTGAAATACAACTCATATTCTCAGATAACAAGAAACTGCCAAGCCTCTCAGATTGAATGACTTGGGCATTTTGGCTCTCCTACTTGATGCAGAATTCAGCACACAAAATGTCACCAGGCTCAGCTCAGGCACAAACTAACATAGGACTCAGTTTCTCATATTGGTGTTCATATCTGGTGAAAATTCCATTTTTGGGCAGAGAAAAAAAAAATCAAATTTGAACAGTCTTGATTTCATTTGACTCCCTTTCTCTCAGGGTGCGTACCTGTGATTTGCCCTGGTCAGTCTGGAGCCAATCTCGCATTTTGATGGCTGTTGCCACCTGGAGACCCTGGGTCCAAACTGACCTCAAAAGCTGTTGAAAGAGGAAGGTAAAGCAGTGGTGGTGTGTGGTCATGTTTATAGAATTAATATTTCCTTCACTATTAATCACTGGATACACAGGCGATCATTTAGATACCAAATGCAATCTCTTGCAATAATAGCGGTAAGAATGATAATTAACATTTGGTTTTAATTATCATTTTAGGTGAAAAACCATATGAGTGTCCAAACTGCAAGAAACGTTTCTCCCATTCTGGCTCCTACAGTTCGCACATCAGCAGCAAGAAGTGTATTGGTTTAATCTCTGTAAATGGCAGAATGAGAAACAATATCAAGACGGGTTCTTCTCCTAATTCTGTATCTTCCTCTCCTACTAATTCAGCCATCACACAGCTGAGAAACAAGCTGGAGAATGGCAAACCACTTAGTATGTCTGAGCAAACAGGCTTACTGAAAATTAAAACAGAACCACTAGATTTCAATGAGTACAAGGTTCTTATGGCCTCACATGGGTTTAGTGCAACTAGTCCTTTTATGAATGGTGGACTTGGAGCAACCAGCCCCTTAGGAGTTCATGCATCTGCTCAAAGTCCAATGCAGCACTTAGGTGTAGGGATGGAAGCACCGTTGCTCGGGTTTCCTGCAGTAGGCAGCAATTTAAGCGAGGTGCAGAAGGTCCTACAGATTGTGGACAACACGGTTTCCAGGCAGAAAATGGACTGCAAGGCTGAAGAGATCTCCAAGTTGAAGGTTTACCATATGAAGGATTCATGCTCTCAAGCCGAGGAACAAGGAGTTACCTCCCCCAATATTCCCCCCGTGGGTCTTCCAGTAGTAAGTCATAATGGTGCCACTAAAAGTATTATTGACTATACATTAGAGAAAGTCAATGAAGCCAAAGCTTGCCTCCAGAGCTTGACCACAGACTCGAGGAGGCAGCTCAATAACATTAAAAAAGAGAAGCTGCGAACCCTAATAGACCTGGTAACTGAAGACAAGATGATAGAGAACCACAATGTATCCACTCCATTTTCATGCCAGTTCTGTAAAGAAAGCTTTCCTGGTCCCATTCCGTTGCATCAGCATGAGCGTTACCTGTGTAAAATGAATGAAGAAATCAAGGCAGTCCTTCAGCCTCACGAGAACATGGTTCCCAACAAACCTGGAGTGTTTGATAAGCAAGCCCTCTTGCTGTCATCAGTACTTTCTGAGAAAGGAATGACTAGCCCCATCAACCCATACAAGGACCACATGTCTGTACTTAAAGCATATTATGCTATGAATATGGAGCCCAACTCTGATGAACTACTGAAAATTTCCATTGCTGTTGGCCTTCCTCAGGAATTTGTGAAGGAATGGTTTGAACAAAGAAAAGTCTACCAGTACTCAAGTTCCAGGTCACCATCACTGGAAAGGGCCAGTGCCAAGGTGGCGCTGGCTGCCACCAACAACACTCCCACTAAAGACTCTTTGTCAGCCAGATCTCCAATAAAGCCTGTGGACTCTATAACTTCACCATCTATAGCTGAACTCCATAACAGTGTTACTAATTGTGATACTCCTCTCAGGCTAACAAAACCTCCTCATTTTACCAATATTAAGCCAGTTGATAAATTGGACCACTCTAGGAGCAATACTCCTTCTCCTTTAAATCTTTCTTCCACATCTTCTAAAAACTCCCACAGTAGTTCTTACACTCCAAACAGTTTCTCTTCTGAGGAGCTTCAGGCTGAGCCATTGGACTTGTCTTTACCAAAACAAATGAAGGAACCCAAAAGTATTATAGCCACAAAGAACAAAACAAAATCTAATAGTGTAAATTTAGAACACAACAGTGTTTCTTCATCATCTGAAAACTCAGATGAGCCGCTGAACTTGACTTTTATCAAGAAGGAGTTTTCTAATTCAAATAATCTGGATAAAAGCACTAACCCAGTATTTGGTATGAACCCATTTAGTGCCAAACCTTTATACACAACACTTCCACCACAGAGCGCATTTCCCCCAGCCACTTTTATGCCACCAGTCCAGACCAGTATTCCTGGGCTGCGACCATACCCAGGACTAGATCAGATGAGCTTCCTACCACATATGGCCTATACCTACCCAACTGGAGCAGCTACTTTTGCCGATATGCAGCAAAGGAGAAAGTACCAGCGGAAACAAGGATTTCAGGTAAATGGTTTCAACTGTTTTCTCCTTTGAAAGGCTAGAATTCAGTATTTTGCGATATGTCCTCTTAGAGAATAAAAAGCCCAAAGCTATAATCAACAATTTCAACAAAATTAACAGAGTTTATTTAAGTCTGAACTTGGAAGATGTGGTGGAGTAGGAAAATAAATGGCAGTTAACTTGAGAGTACCTCTACTTGGATTCAGAAGCAGTACCAATTACTTTGAACATGCATAATGACCTTTGTTCTGTTAAGAGTTCAGCCGTTTCTCATTAGATTTGTGTAGCAATATAATAATAATAGTAGTAATAATAATGATGTCCATAAAAATAGTATCCTAGGAAAAAAAAAAAAAAAGGAAAGTTTGTAGGGAAATTTATCTCTTCAGGGCATAACCACATTTCACCACAGAGAAAAGGAGAAGTGGGAGATCCTTTGGAGTCACTTCCACACTCGGACACAAAGTTGTATCCCTCTAAGCAGATGTCCATACAGCCTCATAGATACTAGAATCCATTAAAGCCTTCAGAGCTTCTTTCTCCATATTTTGGGGGGATTGTTCACCCACCATTCATGGGAAAGTTGTGCTCTTTTCTCATGAATGTCTGGGGGATAAGAAACATTGACCTGTAGCTCCTTCCTTTGGGCCACATACTGCTCTTCTCAGACTCTTAGTCCTCTAATCCTGCCAGTCATCTGGAACAGCTCTGAAAAAAACCCAGAGATTAAATGAAATTATTTGGAGAGGTAGCAGCCAGGGCCCTTAATCACAGACAAAGTCTTTTCCTGGACATGTAATCTGGGTCAACCCTTCTTTGTGCCTGGGTACAACCCATAATTCTTCCCTCAGGTCATCCCATCATCCAGAGTCAACACAGGTGTAGCAAAGGATTTTGTCCTTTGCATGCCTGCAGTGAAGAGCAGCCCACAGAAATCTTGTACTTTTATAGCCTTTTGCTGGGTGTATTCAGATATAATGTACAGAGTTGAGTTAAATGAGATTAACTGATTATAGATTAATAATTTTTTCTTACATTTGCGCCTGTTCCCCCATGTCCTATTACCGTCTATTAGTAATTTTACTGACTAGTAAATGTTTTATAGTTTCAAATGTGAAAATCAGGTATGGTTTTACATTACAGACTGTAATCCCTCTTTGCACAATAGGAGCATAAATAGCACTGCACCTCCATAACAGCTGTTCCACTATTCCAATTTACAGTACATCTGCCCTCTTTGTAAATGTATTTAAGCCTATTTAATCTTCTCTAATATTAATTAGTGCAAACCTAGTCTAAGAAAACTGAACTGTATGATAGCAAATGGAAATGTATGTTATCATGCAAGTTTGCACTCTCTTTGGATCAAGACAAAATAAATATCAAGAAATTTAATAATTTACTGATCCACATTCATTATTGCTTAATGCTGAAGGCTGTTTTAACATAGATAGAACATTGATAAAAAGTGTTATTAATATTCCCTATTTCAAATTACAAAATTAAATATAAAAATATAGCTTGAGGCCTTTAGTCGGGAGACATACATTTAAATGGATTGCATAATAATAACATTTGTACCTAAATATAAAATTCAATTAAAACCTTTCTCAGATACAGAATACATCCAAGTTTTGGAATTTTGAAAGGAATGATCCCTTGCTTACATTTACCTCTGTAGAATAAAACAATACCTTTTGCTGGCCATGAAGAGATCCCCTTCACACTTTCTTGGAATTGCTTAGTGTTGATATGGTAAACACTGTTGGTTTGTGCAAACCACGTTAACTGCAGAGTGCTCAATGACAGAAAGTTGGTTTGAGGCACAGCAGTAGAAGGCTCCCCGTTATTTCCACACTTCCCACCAGCTGTAGTTTCATTATTCATATCCCTAAGCTAAGAGGGACCACCGAGGCATGGTTTTAAGTTCCCTGGGATGGTTGGTGGGCAGGGATGGCGGTGGGAGTGGCTGTCGCTGACGAGTGGTTCCCTCACAGGGAGAATTGCTTGATGGAACCCCAGACTACATGTCCGGCCTCGACGACATGACGGACTCCGACTCCTGTCTGTCCCGAAAGAAGATCAAGAAGACAGAAAGTGGCATGTATGCGTGTGACTTATGTGACAAGACATTCCAGAAGAGCAGTTCCCTGCTGCGACACAAATACGAGCACACAGGTAGGGCAGGATTGAGGGTCGTGCTCTGTTCTTCACAGCCTTTCATGAGTACGTTTGTGCAGGTGCTGAGGGTTTAAAAAAAACTCTTGTGCTCTTTTCTGACTTATTTTTTTAATGCTTCTTGATGGTAATGGCTTGGTGAAGGACAGTGGGTGTGATGGGGTGAATGTTGGTGGGTGCAGTGGCAATCATTATTTCCCAGGCCAAGCCCTCTTGAAATGAGACAGGCCCTAGGACTCAGAAACAACTGCAACTTGCTCAGCACAAAGTCTGGCATGGGAAGGAAGAGTGACAGCGTATTTCTTGTTTCTTAGACACTATCTGACCCTGCTCCATTTAATCCAATAGGAAAACTGCTGCTGACGTTACCAGCATGAGAGCTGGCTCTGGCCAAGGTATATGAAAGTCAACAGCTCAGGGGGTTTCCTCTCACTGTGATTTTGCACATCAGCAGCACAAGCAGGTTGCAGTTCACTTTTTCACTTCCCAGTTAATGCCCAGGGAAGGTTCCCTTCTTTCCTGAGTAGGAAGTGATTTTTGTCTAGTTCAAGGAAGCTTGCCAAAGCTCACCACGCACCGTCAGCTTAAAAAATACTTTGGTTTGAAAAAGACCTTCCATCACACCTATGCTGGCTGTGGTTCCCCTTACAGACAGTGCTCCCTTCCCCACTGTCAGCCAGGACAGAGCTCTCTGAGGGCCACACATTGGCTCAGCATGTTTCAGTTAGGGGAAAATGGGACCGGAGCTTCCCAAATAATAGAGATATCAAGTTATGCTGGACAAAGGGAATGTGAATTATCATCTGAATTATTGTGCAGCAGGACATAAACCAAACTCCAACTTCCTAGAGTTAGAAAAAGTTTACTCAGGAGGAAACTTGCCTTAACTTTGAAAGCTGAGTCCTGCTTCAGGAAATGAAGCAAGTCACATCATCCTTCAATCTCACCATGTGAGGGTAAAAACCTTATACCTCTCTATTAATACATCTTTCAGGCCCCACATAACACTTTGGCTTTTCACAGATGAAAAATTTACAATTCATAAGTGGACTGTGCCTTTAAAACAAAATCCTTTACTTTGTTATTTTTCCTTCTTATACTTTTCTTCCAAATTTTAGGCTAATCCCACAAAGGAAAATACAAAAGGAAGTTAAAATACATGTGGGATTAGGAAATAAAATGAAAAGCAACATTTTGGACTAGATCAGCCAGTTCATTGGCAGAATGTGCTTCCCACTACATTATTCAGATCAAATTGTTTATTCAGTAGAAGAAGCTTTGAAGGCTTTACGTCCCTGCACCTTTCCTCTCCTGAATGATTTTATTACAGCCATCTGCAAACATTATGGTTTACTACACTACTACTGTAAAGCTCTTATGTTAGAACTGGCCTTCATATATATCAGGATCTGGACATATGGTTGAATCCCATAAAGTTGGTAGTCCATAAGGTCGACAGACATATGGTTGAAAGGCTGAAAATTTGACAAGCTGAAATGTGTGCAATCACCTTGATTTGCAAAATAAACTGCATTCGTAATAGCAAAAATATGTTATGGTTTTGAAGTAGCATGGGAACCTACTGCCTAGAAAAATGCCACACAGCTGCAACTCAGGGACTCTTCTCCTGCTTCTTTCCTCTGTCCCTCTTGGCTTCTCAACTTCACGTCCATCAATTTTATGGGAGTCAGCCTTACGATCCAGAACATGTATAGGGTGTCAGATTTAATACACTAGAACTACAGCACATCATCAGGCTGGAGCCTGGCATTTAGGGACAGAAAGGATGGTGTTGTGGCAGAGGCACAGGCAGTGAGAGCACTGCACTCTCCCCTGCCTCACCACAGACTTCCTCTGTGAATTACAGCAAATTGCTTCAGCTTTCTCTCACCTTCTCCCATCTTTGAAACACAGGGAAATGATACAAGCCAGTCTCTCTGGGGTGCTGTAAATATTAATTCATTATATCCTGTGATGGAGCTCACTGGATAAAGTGGGAAGGACTATTACCAGGGATGTGTTTGCTTTTATGGAGCCTCGGTGCATCACACCAGTGTTTGAGCAGTTGGGAGCTCTGAAGGGCTTGGCTGGGCCAGCCCCAGCACCTCGTGCACAGCCTTCAGGAGGCACACTGCATTGGCACTCTGGCTAATGGCTCAGGTGCATCTTAAGTGAATTTCAAATTAATTTGATAGTTTCAGGCAGAGCTTGTAATTGCATTAATAACATAGGTGTGAAACTGCAGTCTGTGCTCAGTGGAAGGAACCGAGTTGAAAGTAACACCCTATTCTGCCTTTGGGGTCATTGTAAGAGCAGGCCCAGGTTTTTCAACCAACTTTTTGAAACCTAGAAAAGAGAAAAAAGCCTTTTTTTCTGAGGGTGTTGCTGTTTTCTGAGCAGCTGATCATGACCTATTGTAGCTCCATTAAAAACATGTTTTAGGAGGAATTGGAAAGCTTTCTGTCTTTCCTGGAGGAGCACAAAATAATGGATGTTGTTTATAACAATCTCTTTTTTTCTGTGTAAAAAGAATATATGTGTTCTATTAGAACTTTGGGACAATCAGATTTTTATTTGTCACCCCTTCTCAAGGTCCATGTATCTATTGCAGCCAGTGATAGAACAAGGGTTAAAAGAATCAGACAGAGGCCCCTAAAAATTTATCACCGAGAAATAATTTGAAGCAAAACATTGACAGGTAAAACTACATAAGATGTCTGAATCATTGTTTATTGGTAATCAAGTGTTGTAAAGGGGAAAACAGGAATGTTTAGATGTTGCAGTGGAGCTGAATTTCTGTGCCAGGGCAAGAAGAATAGGATTTGGCCAATTCTTTTTGTCAACCCAAGAACTTTTGGTAGGACCATGCAGCTGGCTGCAGGACAAAGAGCTCTGTGATTACCTCTGTACACCATGCCTGCCTCAGCTGGAACACAGAAGAGAAAGGGCCACAAATTTCACAATCTATAGTTTTTAATTTATGCAGTATTGGTGGTATTCTGTAATAGCTTTCAGCTTCATGGGGAGAAGGAAAATTTATTTTGTAACTGCAATGAGTGAATTGCATTGGTTCTGGCTCATCTGAAATTTAGTGTAGAGGCCACTGTTTGTTGCAGAACCAAATTCTGACAACTTAATTTTGGGACGCCATTGAATTTTGAGAGAAGTTACGTGTCCCTCTTAGAGTCTGATCTTCACAAGGTCCTGTTTCCTTAAAGGCAGGGGATGCAGTGCTGTAATTAGGGTGCAGAGCATGGCAGGTAGCGCAGGCATTTAGCGCTCACATGATTTTCCTGTGGAATCTTACGGACTCATCCTAATTTGGACAGGCTGAAATTAGTTGAGCCAATATGGGATGTGTCTAATCTCAGATTTTTCCAAGCTGCTTAGCACAAGGTTCAAGACACTTTCCTTACGGAAGGTGAAGAAGGTGGTTGCCTTCACGGCAAAGCATCGGTGCTTTGGCAAGAGAAAAATTCTTTGTGCTGCTGACAAGGAAGGAAACCAGGAGTGGGTGAGTGAGCAGGAGAGCAAACAGAATGGAGCACCTAGAAATACAGAAATATCCTGGCTCCTGGTCCAGGGATGGAGGAGTAAGGTGAAGGTTAATGTTTGTTCAGCCCTCGTCAATGCCCGTGTCTGCCACACACCAGCTTTGTTGTAGCTTCACAGGGGAACTCTCAGCGTGCCTGCTCCGCAACAAAAGCTGGAAACAGTTTTTCAGAATCCTACCTAGAAATTTAAAATCCTTTCATTGTTGTTCTATATTACATCATATTCTATTTTATTACTTGTGTGGGCTGTTGAGGGCCTCATAGCTGTGCTAGGGCTTTCATCCTTTCCTTTTCCACTGTATATTTTATTAAGACCTCTTTTTTATTTTTGTAGCTTTCATGCTGATGCAAGCACTACTTTTATTTCCAGATTGATTCTGTAAACTAAATATTGTTCTTGAGCCTGGTAGCAAATCAGCTCTCTCTGGCTAGTATTTTGAATTCCCAGCTTGGGAGTTTTCTTTATTTAGAGCTTGATTCATAAAAAATTTACATGCTATTTAAAGGTTATTTTTTCTTGCTTTACTCTGATACAAGTTTAGAATTCCCCATTTTACACTCAAATAAAGAAAAAAAAAGGATATATTCTACGTTTGTGTCTGCAGACAAGGTCTCCTATTGAAAACGGAACAGGTGCAGCTTGGGCAATTATATATAAATTGCATTTATCTTACACCTTTGACTGCTTTGCTATGCTCTGGCCACTAATCCATCTCCATTGGGACTACATCTAACATCCAAACCCCTGAGCAGCTTCAAAAGAACTGCCTTTAAAAAAAATACAAACAAACTGTCACAAAAATATTTCCTTCTTTCCTCCGAAGAGTGAGATTTCTGTTTGGCCCCCTCCCACGGAAAAGAGACCCACTTGCCTTAGGCAAAGCATGGGTGATATTTAGTCTGGGACCAGTGACAGCTTGTGATCTGATGTCTTGTGACTTTTATACCACTGCACATGGGAAATGCACAGCTTTCTAGTTAAAGACTTTTAGCCCAGGAAGATTGAGAGATACTTACTATCATAGAGATGTTTTAATTGTTGTCTTTTTTTAACAGAAATTCAATTTTAGAGACTTTGCAAATATACCAGTTATAATTTCCCCTCTGTAGATTGAGTGCAGGCCTCCCATGGGAACCTATATTTTGCAATGAAGAAAAAAAAAAGGCCCAAACATTTCCTCTAGATATTTGAGAGGGATTTATCATTTAATTTCATTGCAAAATGTGGCATCTGCATCACTCATCCATCTGACCAAACACAAGTGTTTCATCAGCCCTTCTGTGAGCTTCCTTGGGTCCAGCTCTCCTAGCTCCATCCCCCATGGGTGACACAGGGGATCTCGGATGGGTTTGGATGCAACCTGTGCTGTGGGATATCAAATCTGCTTCCTTTTGACTTCTCTCTACTCCTGTGATGTTATGAATGTTGTGACACTGCAAGACAGCGATCCAGGACAAGGTGATGGCTTCAAAATGAACAAGAGTGGGTTTAGATATTAGGATTTGAGATATTAGGGAGGTAGATATTAAGAAGAAAATCTTCACTGTGAGGGTGGTGAGGTTGGATGGGGCTTGGAGCAACCTGGTCTAGTGGAAGGTGTCCCTGTCCATGGCAGGGTGAAATGAGATGAGCTCTAAGGTCCCTTACAACCCAAACCAGCTGGGGATCCTATCGTTTCCTAAAGTTGTAGGTCCTCCTCATCCACCTACAATTGCGGACTTATCCCCATCCCCAGTGTAAAATACCTTAGTCCAGCTTTATTTTATGACCCACTAGCACATTGTAGGGATTAAACACTCATTTTAAATGCCTGAAATACTGGGTTTTGCACATGAGGGGAAGAAAATAATTCTGCAAATGTTCGGAAACCTGATACATTTAAAAACATATTTCAATTAGTGTTGTAACAGCTGCACACTGAGCACTGCTAAGGTATGTTGTGTGGTGTCTGAACAAAGAACTTTGCCCAAGCTGTCAGGTTCCCTCAGATCAAAACTGAGGCCTTGATATGGATGTGGTAGACTAAAAAGCTCTAGCATTGCCTTTTCAGTGCTAACATAAATTAATATGAAAATACGAAGTATTTTAATCTATTCATTTCTAAATTAATTTATAAAATATGGATGATTCCCTGCCAAGCTACGTCTGTGTGTGGCATGAATGCCATGTGCAAGGGATGAGCAAAGCAGGCAAAGACTGAGGGATGAGCACATCACCCAGCCTTTGGGAGGGTGGGTGGAGGCAAGTCTGGATGAGAGCAGTGGAGGTGGTTGACTTCTGTTTGAAGAAAGGAAAAGTGCTAGGAGCTGGATGGGGCACAACTGTGGGGCGAGAATTGTAGAATGGTTTGGATTGGAAGGGGTCATTAAAACTCATCTAGCCCCTGGAATGACCAGGGAAACCTTCAACTAGACCAGTTTGCTCAGGACCCTGTCCAATCTGACCTCAAATTTTTCCCAGGATGGGACAGAGAAGGGTGTAGTGGGCATCAGATGTAGTGTGCCTTAAAAAAAAATCAGGGAATTTGAAGTAATGGAGAAGTGATGGTGGAGAAGTGGAACAAGACAAGGGTTGGGCTTGTTGATGTTAGGGAAAAGTAAGTCAGAGGGAGGGACTGAGATAACGTGGGCAGCTCAGTGAGGAGGACACTAAAAAGCTGCTGAGGAAAAGCAGAAAAGTCTGCAAGGAGCAAAAAAGAAACAAAATTAGCAACTGTTGAGATATTAGCAAGGGGACATCAATGTGTTGCTCTGAGGGTAATCAGCAGGACAACTGGGTCAGGGCAGAGGTTCATCCCATTGGGTGTTGGTAGGGCTGGGAAGATTCCCACTCACCCGTGAGGGTTTTCCACTGGCACTGCTGGGTTTGAGAGCGCTTAGGCTGAGAGTGCTTTGGGATTTTAAGCTAATTTGAGTAAGTGACTTGATCGTGCTTAAATCTCCTGAGCTAAGACTCTGGGATTTCCCCTTCGTGGCTAAACTTGTGCCCTGAATCACAGGTAGTTGACTCCAGCTCTGGATTTGGTGCACCCCTAGGTCAAGGCTGGAGGTTCAAAGCCAAAATACATTTATAGCTCAAAGCTCAGAGTTTTCTTTGACTTTTAACCAAGAGGTTAAATTGGCAGAAATGCAGATTTAGGAAACAGTTCACGCAAGTAATACGCAAGTAATGCTATAATTCAATATATCAAGTTTGAATTTTCAATTTTACTATAAAGAGAAATAAAGGAAAAAAAGAAACCTTGTATGTGTGCAGACC